ATAACTCGACTTTGAGCTGTTAATCTGAATTTTTTCTGTAAAATAACGATCTTTTTTTACTATGTTTTTTATCATTCCATGATTATCATGTATGATTCTTCTTGTATATCCACAGATGCGAGTCTTTCCAATCCAATCTAAAATAAATTTTGTCTCTATTTTAATACATTTATTCTACATAAACCAATTTATTTTACATACACATTGATAGTAATCAATATTTATACATGTGGAAAATAGTCGTTTGCATATTTAGGAAGTCGACGACCATTGAGATATAAAGAATTTAGTTTTGCACAATTGATTCGTGTTATGCCTCTTGTAAAATTGTGTGTCACTTTTTTTACTTGTTCATAATAAATGTTAAGATGAACAGCATTATTCGGTAAACATATTTTCGTATCAACTTGAAATTCTTCGATATAATCATCGTGAGCATCGTAAAGTGTAAGAGTAGTAAGATAGGGATAGTTAATGATTGAAAAATCTTGATTGTCATTCTGTGATTCTCTGCATAATTTGTTATTTTGTGGTTTCGAATTACGTAAAGAAAGTGTTTTCATAAATGGACGTGATTTTTGAATTCGAAGAAAAAACTAATGTTCAAAAGGATGTTCATTATATAATGAAATTTTACGAACACATGTAAATAAGTCACCTGGAAAATTATTTGTTACAGTATAGTAATATTTTAATTGGTCAGGATACAAATAGATATGACATAGACCATATTGTTCTTGGAAATAATCAACATAAGAAGTAACTTGATTATCTTTAAAATCTTTGAATGTATGTTGAATATCTTCTTTCGATTGTAGATAAATTTGATTATGAAGAGAAATACCTGAGCAAATACAAAATTCGAATCTCTGTAATCATGCCACATGATTAATAATATTCTGCTTCAATTCATTTCCATCAACAAATTTTTTGTTACAAATAACAAGATTCAAATAGAGTTTTTCTAAACTCGACATTCGTTGTAGAAATAGTACAATTAATTTATCAAAAGCATGTGTTGACATTTCACAACATAGTGAAAAACAACTTAAATTAGATAGTTTTTCCTATAAAAAAAA